TTTTTTTTTTTTTTTTTTTTTTTTTTTTTTTTTTTTTTTTTTTTTTTTTGTGATTGAGATACCAGCAGATACCTAAGAACATGGCCATAAAAGTTTGCAAACCCTAATGCCTATAAACTAAAGTCTTGAATGATTTGACTATTCGAGGCTTAAGGATTTACGAAGATTATTATCATGCTTTTCTAGCTCATATTTTCTCACGTATGACATGAACTTTTGAAAGCTTGGTCTAGATTTAAACGATTTTTTATGTATGTCTTTTGTTTTTCAAAATGTGAGATCCTATATCGGTGGGAGAGAGAAGTAAAACATTTCTTATGAGGTGTGGAAATCTCTCTTTAGTAGATGTGGTTTAAAATCGTGAAGCTAACAATGATACACAAACCTACCAACATAAAGAAGATACAACCCACTCAACAATTGCCTAAACTATTTTCAAGCATCTAGGAATGTGACGAAGGGTCCCATATCGACTATGAAGGAAGGCGATGATGATTACATAAATTAAGAAAATGACATCCATCAATGTGATAAACCGTTTGAGAGTGATTTCGGAATGAGACAACAGTGATTTTGCTCCTCCGTCTTTCTTAGCGCACTAGCACGCATTTAGTACTCTTATAATTGGCCAAACGGGATCTTCATCTCAAGGAGATCCTCCGCTTTGGTTGACTAGTCAATCTTCTTCTCTCCAAATTGAAATTTTGATCATCCTCATTGGTCTTACTCTTTTGAACGACCACTTCAAAGAAGGAAGAAAAATGAGTTTAAAAGGGAATTTGTTGGTAATTATGAGAAAGTGAAAAGATTATATATTGGGATCCAGCAAAAGCATGAAAAGAAGGTAGACCAGCATGTGGGTTGCCCCTCTCCTCTCCATTCAACCTCTCAATCCAATCCCTTGTCCCAAATATTATTGATTAGTCTACTTTGGCACACTACTTATCTTTGACTCCGATATCATTTGTAACAGTTCAAGCCCACTGTTAGCAGATATTATCTGTATTATCGTCAACCTCACGACTTAAAAACATATTTACTAAGGAGAGGTTTCTACGTAAATGTTTCATTCCTCTCTCCAATCGATATGAGATCTCACAATATCTCATGAGAATGTCAGGGTCATCAAGTATCAATTCCCAATTGCTAATTTTTATTAAAATCTTGAACATGGGTCGTGATACTAATTAGACATTCATAACGTACCTACAAAATTAACAACTAAAAAAATCTATCTCTTACCCAAACTCTAAAATTTAGAACTAAGCTTACAATTTAACCTATTTTGAATCGAGCCAGAACGAGGCCTATCGAGATTGGCCTTACTTTTCATGAATTAAAATTTTAGGGTTTGAAAAAAAAGGGTCTAATTTGAAAATGAATGGATAAGCATTTTTGTGTGAGTGCCTTACAGCATCACATTCATCATGGACTTTTATTATTTATTTATTTACTTTTATTTTGCCTTTTGCTATATAAATACCAAAGAATTTGACAAACTTGATGTGGTGTAAAGCATTCCCTTTTATTTTCTTTTATTATTATTATTTTTTTTATTTTACAAAATTTTATTTTTATATATTTTGGGTCATAGGCTTACTCATTTTTTAATCGGCTCTAATGATTCTCATTTTTTAATCATTTTTTTCTTCCAATTAATTCTTTTCTTTTTGGTAATTATTTGTTTCTTTTAATTAAAAAAAGTTAAGTATTTTAGTAACAACTTGTTGATTTTTCATTTTTTAGATTTTAATTATACTCTTAAACTTTAAATTTTTTTTATTATATTCTTGAATTTTAAAATTATTAAATTTTTTTTGGTTAAAATTAAATAAAAGAAAATAGATGACTGAAAAAATAATTATAAAGATGAATCAAACTTTATCGATAAAAAATATATATTTTCACTTTTTTTATATAAAATTATTATTTTTTTTTTCCATTCATAGAGAAAAGTAAAAGAGGAAGAGAATATAATTTTTTTATTTCGATTTTCTTCGTAATATTTCATTAATTTAACATTTTAGAAAATATTAAAATTATGAATTGACAATTTTCATATATGAAAGTATGAATAATTACATTATAAGTTAATCTTTTTCTCTTATTTCTATAAAAAGAAATTTGTTAAGAACTATAATATTTAATGAATTATTTAAATGAATAGCCGTTTGTCGGTACCATAAAGTTATTATTATTTTATATAAATATATTTATATTATTATAAACAAAACCTTACACTATAAGGCTCATTTAACTATTTGTAACTTTATGTGTGAAATTATCGACCGGGTCGAAAGCCACCAGGAATAAAAGCTTAAAGACCGAGAAACAAATTTAAAAAACGTCGATCGACTTTTAGAAGCCAACTACCATGGGTATCGACTAAGCTTAGAGCCTGAATGGTAAACTCCCATAGGATAAGCTACGACCATTATCCTACGAGGATCAGTTAACGACATAATTATTGTTCCATACGGGCCGGTCGACGGTTGAGAATGCTAAAATTTGATCTTTGCTCATAATCACTCGATCAAGTAATAGTTTAACCTTATAATGTTTATCATACTTAATGTTCCAGAATCTGTGACGATGTTTTATAAACTATCCTATAGTACGACAAGTAGATACAAAAGTACGTCCAGAACACTTATTTCTTGTTCTCGATACCTACCATCGAGCTCAATTATTGACTTGAACATCATAGATCTCAAATTACACATATAGGTCGTGTCATCGTCCAAAGCTATATCTCTCTTCGATCACATATTTTTAAACGATCACGATCATATTTTTAAATACATCGAGCAAGTTATAAAAGATGAAACGTTTCAAACGTTCACGATGACTCGTTATAGCTAGTTATAGACAATTTAAATTTCTACGCTCCATAAATTCTCTCTTTTTAGGCACAAATAGTGTGGACCAAAGAAATTTATTTTATAAAATTGAATTATTGCCGATGTTTTTAAAAACTTACCAAGATTTGCATCATTTTAGTAAGAATTTATGTCGGGTTTAAATTTTGAAATAATTGTAGCTCTATAATGACACGTAAAAATTTAAATATTAAGAAAATTAATAAATTGGGTATAATGCATAAAATTTAAATTTCACGAACACGAATTCAAGCCTACTATATAGTCTATAACCTAACAATTAAGTTACGTAGACTATATATAAGCTTCCAAAACTTTAATCAATCGAGATATTTTTATAAAATTTAATGTATTTATGTCACGTGGTATAATATTATAAAGTTTCAATTAATAAATTATAACAAGAAAAAGAAAATTAAAATATTTGTATAGAGTGAAATAAATAAATAAATTATAACAATAATATTTCAAAATTATATTTTTTATTTTTGAAATTATTTGGGAAAAACAATTATTTTAGATAGACAGGTGTGAACAGTCAAAAACCAAAATATTGAAGTTTTTAAGAAGAAACAATTAAAAGTTTGACCAGCCACGTGGAGTTGACTGGCTTCAATTTTGTACGTATTTTTGAGGAAATTAAGAATTAAAGGTCAAATTATGTCCCAAAAAATAATGTCTGTTGGATTAAGTCTGAGATTAGTGAAGAATCCTTCATTTAACATTAATCATGATTAACTTCTTATTAAATCCTCCTAACTACATTAGACCTGAACGAATTGAACAAGCTTAGTTTGGTCAGTAATACCCACTCTTTATCTTGGAGGCTCGTTAGCTCATAAATTCTTGAGAACAGGTCGACAAGTCAAACGACGTAGAACTTTAACGAACAGGCTATTTCAATCTTCTTTTGTCGTTTATTTATACTTATTTCAAAGTTTGATAAATCTTTGTGACACCCGAGTAAATGAAAGGTATATAAATGAATCGAGAGGTGCAAAGGTCATTAGGTGTTGAATCGGGATTATAAATTGTGATTCAAATCTGTGAGATGGGTCGGGATTATATTATCGAGAAGAAAAAAACCCCCACAAAATAAAGTTTATGAAAGGGAAATTATTTGGTGGAAGTTCATTAGTTGGAAATTTGAAGGTTGGTAGAAGACAGCTAAAATATGTCATCAGCCATGTGCTATCCAAATATATCTTTTTATTTATTTACTTATTTGTTATTATTATTCTTTTAAATATTTAATGCATTATTTGATTATTTTTTTATGGAATTTTATAAGTTCATCCCGATTACGTCTTCTAATAAGCTCTTGAGATTGAGTTGTAGAGTTAAATTGAAATTCAAATTACAAACGACGGAATGAGTCGTAGGGTTGAATCAAATTGCAAACTACGAATGATGCAACAAGTTGTAGGATTGAATTGAACGGCAAAGTACAAATGATGCAACGAGTTGTAGGGTAGAATCGAATTGCAAACTAATAAACAGTGGAACGAGTTGTAGGGTGGAATCGAACTGCAAACTACGAACAATGGAACGAGTTGTAGGGTTTAATCGAACGGTAAAGTATGAAAGATGGGAGTATTAATCATTTTCTATCAGTCGTAGGGTTGAATCAAATTTTAAAGTATGAACAATGGAACGAGATGTGGGGTTGAATCAAACTGCAAACTACGAATGATGCAACGAGTTGTAGGGTAGAATCGAACTGCAAACTATAAAC